TGCAGTAGACCAAGATCGAGCCACTGTACTCCAGCCTGGGTGACAGAAAGAAAAAAAAAAAAGAAAACTTAAATCTGGGGCAGAGTGAAGATTTTGGTAGCTGGGGCCCTGGAGACAAACTAGATTTCTAAGGGGCATCATTCAGTTCTTAATCCCATAGTAAAGATAAAGTAGCAGATGCCTGACCTTGGTAAAGCAAGCCGATATGCTGGCCACACTACAGAAGAGCATGTGGGTCCGTTTAAATGAAATCCATGGTGATGGCATATATTGCTCATGCTCCCAGGGCTCAACATCGTCACAGACTTGTTTCCATAGAACCTTCTTCTCTGGCTTGCTATGACCGGCTTTGACTTTGGACAACTGAGCTTGCTTCCTCACGTGCAACACAGAAATACCCTGGAAGTTTCCTGGGGGACTGAATGAACTAAGCCATTGCTGCTAAAACTCTAGTAGAGCTGCTGATTTCAAGCTCCCCTATCCCAAACTGACACCATTACACATGGGCTTGGGGGAGAAAAAAAAAATCAAATATTTTACCAATTTAAGTCATTAAATAAGTACGATTCTAGAAGAGGAAGAAAAGTGCCACAGAGTGATTTAGCTGAAGACATTATTCAGGAGAGTTCATCTTATCAACGTCCAATGTGGACCAGCTTTTTAGGTGGAGGGCAGCCAGATAATTTTGAAAAGGCACATTTCCAAGCAGAAAATAACTCTGATTCTCCTGTTTAAAAGGCCAGTTCGGTGGCTAAATGAAAGTGTAGTTCAACAGACATTAAATTCTGTTATAAGATGTGGGCAAAAATATAACAAAGACTGAATACAGCAATACCGGAGCCCCAATAAAAAGATCTTGGGGGTGGGGTTAGGGGGCCACTAAACTACATCCCTAAGATGCAGGGTGTGATTTATGTACGAAACAACATTTCTCATTTTCAGAGGAATGTCCTTTAATCTATATTGGGCAGTCAAGCCTTTGAGCCACAGAGAAAATCTGGAGCAACAGGAAGCAGGGTGATAAACTGGGACAAATGTCCTTTTTCATAAGGATGATCGTATGTGCTTCCTTTTCTATCCAGGCTGCCAAGAAGCTAAGAGTCAAATGTGATGTTTTATCACAGTAACAAAATGTTCACATAATTTAATGCAAGGGTCTTCAACCCTGGGCCATGGACCAGTACCCATCCTTGGTCTGTTGGGAATCAGGCTGCACAGCAGGAAGTGAGCGGCAGGCAAGTGAGCAAAGTTTCATCTGTATTTACAGCTGCTCCCCATTGCTTGCATTACTGCTTGAGCCCCGCCTCCTGTCAGATAAATAGTGCAGCATTAGATTCTCATAGGAGTGCGAACCCTATTGTGAACTACACATGCAAAGGATCTAGGTTTCCAGCTCTTTATGAGAATCTAATACCTGGTGATCTGTCATTGTCTCCCATCACCCCCAGAGTGGACCACCTGGTTGTAGGAAAACAAGCTCAGGGCTCCCACTGATTCTACATTATGGGGAGTTGTATAGTTTCACAATATATTACAATGTAATAATAATAACGGAAATAAAGTACAATAAATGTAATGTACTTGAGTCATCCTGAAACCATCCACCCCACTGGATCTGTGGAAAAATTGTCTTCCATGAAACCAGTCCCTGACTCCAAAAATGTCCTGGACAACTGATTTGGCATATTCATTTTATTTTCTCTTTGTGAGGTTCTGATTATACTATATTATATTACGTTATTTATTTAGTGAAACAGGGTCTTGCTCTGTTGCCCAGGCTGGAGGACAGTGGTGTGATCACAGCTCACTACAGCCTCAACCTCCAACCAGGACTCAAGTGATCCCCCTCCCTTAGCCTCCGGAGTAGCTGGGACTACAGGTGTGTGCCGTCATGTTAATTTTTGTATTTTTTGTAGAGAAGGGGTTTCACCATGTTGCCCAGGCTAGTCTGGAACTATAGGGCTCAAGCAATCCTCCTACCTTGGCCTCCCAAAATGCTGGGATTACAGATGTGAGCCAGTGTGCCCAGCCTGATTATTCTATATTAGCTTTAATTAACACACAGTGCTCTCTAAAGTTACCTAAGATTATTTTTAGCCTTGAGGTGAGAAGAGTTAGAACCTTACCTCAGCTACTCTCTTTTGGACCTCATCCTCCTCCTCAATCGATCAATCTACAAGTAATAATCTCACATCTCTATGCCCAATCATTGTTCTGAGGAGCAAAAAGAGGTAATAAAATTGCCTTGAAAACTCTCAAGGTGACCTGGAGTAAACATTTTCTCTCATCCCTGACCCCACAGAACAAAAATAGGATACACTACCACATGCTGAACTATACTGGGTACATTCCTCCCCTGTCCCAGTTAACCCTTCTAAACAGACAAATTAGTACATTTGACGATATAAAATCTAATAAAGGTCCAACACAATCAAAAGAAAGGGACTCGCTGGGTGCGGTGGCTCATACCTGCAATCCTGCACTTTGTGGGGCAGAGGCGAGATGATCACTTGAGCCCAAGAGTTCGAAACTAGCCTGGGCAACATGGTGAGACCATGCCTCTACAAAAAAAACACAAAAATGTAGGCATGGTAGTTTGCACCTGTAGTCTCAGGTACTCAGGAAGCCGAGGTATGAAGATCGCTTGAGCCCTGGAAGTTGAGGCTGCAGTAAGCTGTGCAAGTACATCCATGGGCAATACTAAGATATAATCTATCCTGAAGTTACAATTTCTATAGTCGAGTCCACCTTACAAGGCAGGGACTTATAACCCTTATATTTTTAATGCAAAATGGAAACGGAACTAAAACAGTATTTGTAGTAAACGGAAAAATGAAGAGATTTGAGAGAAATAAATACCTTTGCTCCTTAGAAAATCTTCAGGAAGGTCCACGTGTAAAAGTTCTTTGCTGGACTGCATCAGGATATCCTCCTGTAGTAAGAAAATCCAGCGGTCAAGGGGGATTCAGAGGATTCTGAGCTCATAAATTTTTTTTTTTTTGAGACAGTCTTTCTGGTTCCCCTGGCTGAAGTGCAATAGTGAGATCTTGGCTCACTGCAACCTCCACTTCCCAGGTTCAAGCTATTCTCCTATCTCAGCCAACTGAATAGATGGGATTACAGGCATCTGCCACCACGTCTAGCTAATTTTTATATTTTTAGTACAGATAGGGTTTCACCATGTTGGTCAGGCTGGTCTTGAACTCCTGACCTCAAGTGATCTACCCACCTCCACCTCCCAAAGTGCTAGGATTACAGGTGTGAGCCACCATGGCTGGATAAATATTAGTCATTATTATTATTATTTTTT